ACAGTATTCATATGTTATGTAATTGATCTAGTACTTACAATAAATGATGCCCAAATTAGGATGATCAGTTTTGAAGAATATATTTTGTAACAGAAGGAGAAAATATGTAGTTGATCTCAACTGCATACAACAAATCAGAACACTTTTTTTTTTTGATTCATCTGATGCTGCAGAACTGGCAAGTCAATAGGGAAGCTGTGGGCATGCATTATGAAACAATGCACTCACTGGAGATGAGCCTCTGAAAATGAGCTGGCTAAAGAGCTGATGGAACAGGTATACTGAAGGCAGTGCAATGATTGACACAGCAGTTCAGCTACATCTTGTCCAACGCACAGTTTCAAAGTTCTCTGTACCTAGGAGACGAGTACAGTACTTGTGAGAAGAAACAGAGAATGAAAGAAAGCAGTGCAGAGGACTTGATGTGCTCAGCAAAAGTGTCTGGCGTTCTCAAAAGCTTTGCTTTAGCTATTACCCTGTTAGTCTTCTAGGGATCTTTCTTTGATGATACAGTACAAGGGTATTTCGGACTAGTTAGCCTTCTAAAAGGACACAAGGGCAAATTCTGTTCTGACTTACAACAGTACAAGCCCACAGAAGTCAATGAGCTGGCACCTGTTCAAGACACAGAATTTGGCCCAATTTGTTTAAGGGAGTTCAACTGGGGATGGCTGGAGTCTTGATACTAAGCTCCGAGTATGGGACAGTGCATAGCTGCACCATCCTGGGAAGAATAATTTGTCTTTCTGTTATACAGACTAGCTCCACACCATTTTCCCCCTTATGAAAGCATTTAAATTAAGAGTTAAGTTTCTCTTTAATTAACTGCTTCCTTAACAGGAAGAGACCTTCTCTGGCTAACACAGCAATGTTGTTGAGAGGCAGAAGTAAGCAGGTGGTGGGGGAAGGAGATAGCAGATGTTAGCTGGAAAATTTGGAACAACTCTTTAAGCCCAGTTATCGGAGCCCAATTTCCATCAAAGCACATTGTTGAAATCATTAATCTGCACCTCCCAGACCCGGTATTTGCCAGAACCAAATTTTCCAGTCAGAGCATGCTTCCATAAAGCAGAACATTTTAAATATTTTTCTAAAACTAAACCACTTCCTTCTCTCTTTTGCTGCTTTCAAAATATTTTCCTTACGCTCAGAAGACCAGCTTTGATGATCCCCTTTCAACATCCCTATCTGTTCCACTAATTAAGTTCTCTTACTGTAACATCAATGCAGAAGAAGTTACCTTTAAAAATGTGACCTGATCAAATGAGTGATTGAACGTTGGCACTTACTTTTGGAAAAGTGGAAGAAGAGGTCCTAGAATTTTTTTTAATATTGATTTATTTTTCTATACATGAATGAAGCAGAGCTAGCAGAGAGACATAGCTAACTCTTACACTCTCTGCTTCAACAGAGAGTGGATGGGATTAATGCAGTGTCTATTTCAAAAAGAGTTTGCTGGGATCAATAAAACACTTAATAACTTTTGAATGAATTTGGCCAGTATATCAGAAAGGAACAACAGCAGCTCCAAGAAGCCAGGGTTATAAGAACAGCTGTACCGGGTCAGACCAAAGGTCCATCTAACCCAGTATCCTGTCTTCCGACAGTGGCCAATGCCAAGTGCCCCAGGGGGAATGCACAGAACAGGTAATCATCAAATGATCCATCCCCTGTTGCCCATTCCCAGCTTCTGGCAGACAGAGGCTAGGGACACCATCCCTGCCCATCCTGGCTAATAGCCATTGATGGCCCTATCCTCCATGAACTTATCTAGTTCCTTTTTGAACCCTGTGATAGTCTTGGCCTTCACAACATCCTCTGGCAAAGAATTCCACATACTGACTGTCCATTGTGTGAAAAAATACTTCTCTGTTTGTTTAAACCTGCTGCCTATTAATTTCATTTGGTGACCCTTAGTTCTTGTGTTATGAGAAGGAGTAAATAACACTTCCTTATTTACTTTCTCCACACCAGTCATGATTTTATAGACCTCTATTATATCCCCCTTTAGTCGTCTCTTTTCCAAGCTGAAAAGTCCCAGTCTTATTAATCTCTCCTCATACAGAAGCTATTCCATACCCCTAATCATTTTTGTTGCCCTTTTCTGAACCTTTTCCAATTCCAATATATCTTTTTTGAAATGGGGTGACCACAACTGCATGCAGTATTCAAGATGTGGGTGTACCATGGATTTATATAGAGGCAATATTATATTTTTTGTCTTATTGTCTATCCCTTTCGCAATGATTCCCAACATTCTGTTTGCTTTTTTGACTGCTGCTGCACATTAAATGGATGTTTTCACAGAACTATCCACCATGACGCCAAGATCTCTTTCTTGAGGTTAAGTGACGCAGGAGTATTTTAGCCTGATAAGGCCTTTTAGCAAATGCTGAAGTCTAACTTCTGGATATTCAGTCAAAAAAAAAATCAGAAAATACTTTTGCACGAGTTAAATTTATTTACTGCCATGTCAGCACTCATTCTCTCAATGGTATCAGAGAGGGATTTTCAAAAGCATTCTGTGTCGGCCTAACTGCTTGCACTGAAGCCTGTAAGGGTTTTGCTTATGATTTCAAAGGGAACATTGTCTTGAATAGGAGCAGAGTTAGGGGTTGCTTCATTTCTTTTTTACTGCTTATGAAATGTGGCAGATAGAGGATGTCAATCTCCAGGGCTTTCGCTTTATCCAAAGAGTACATACACAGACTTCTCCATATTATACCATTCATGGTTCTCAGTCATTTCCTGGAGGGTGAACCTTGAGGATGAGTATGGGATTATGGGTACATCTACAACTCCACTGGCAGTAGCTACTGCACAAGCAGAGGGGAGACAGGCTCATGAAAACCATGGCCCTATTCCTGACTAAAATGGTGCTTACACCATTGCTGATCTCAGTGTTACTGCATCATTGCTGGAAAATGGCATATGTAGACCGTCAAGAATGCCAATTTTAGTATGTGGGAATATGTCATTTAGGACCGTGTGTAAGAGAGAACCAACACCTTCAGATCCATTGTCAAAATACACCTCTTTCACAATGTGTACACCTCTTCAGATTGGCATTATTACCTGTCCATTAGTCTGCCAGTTCCTTGTGTCAGGGTAGCGCTGTTCAGAAATTTTCCAGCAGAACATTTTTTTTCCAACCAGAGAATGCTGATTTCTTGAAATAGATATGTTCAATGGGAAAGTGTTGATTTCAATGACATTTTGATGGAAACCAAGCAGGTTTCTGACAGCTTGCCCATGTCCCCAGAAGCCCTGAGATCCTTAACTCCCAAACTCCCCAGTAGCTTTCCAGGGAATTGGCAAACCCACCAGGGAGGTTGCTGAGGAGCCCAGGCTACCAGGCTTCTCGAGACCTTGGCAGTCCATCTGACTGGGAAACTTGGGCTCCCTGATTGGGGAAGTCCAGGTTCTCCAGTAGCCCATCATTTGGACTGGTGGGGTACTTGGAATCCAGGAAGCTGACTGAAATTGACATAATTCTTGTTAGTTTCCCTACAGCTGAATAGCAGCCATGAAACTGGTCAGACAGTTGTTAATTTCACACAGCAGCTCCTAGCTGTGAGCAATAGCAGGGGTAGGGTATTGGGGTTTCCATTTTTTGTTGAGGGGGATCTTCTATGAGAAATCCCAGTACCTGGCAGGGTAGAGGGGAGCTTGGTCACCCAGGCTCCATCGCTCCTGTGGCTCCCAGGCTCTTGGGCAACCTGTTAGCTGGGGATCTCGGGGAACATTTTGCAAACACTGAGACATGCTTTCTGTGGGAACATTTCAGTGTGCCCAAAACAGACTATTATGGAATTCAAGTTCGGTGAACAACGTCGAGTTTTTGTCGTTTTGTCCTGATGGGGGCCAATTTTCCCCCCAAAAACTATTTTGTTGCTGTTGAGGAATTGGAATTCTGTTTTCTCACCAGATCTAGTCAGGGGACTTTTCTCCCCCATAAATGCTATGTGTGGGGCATGCTTATTCTGTGGCACTACATAACGAGTGGGGTTGTTTTTTTCAAACTAGCTAAGTGACTTCAGCGCATAAGTCCCACTGACTTTCATGGGGCATGGATCAGAGCTCGCTGGCTGAAGCTCAGTCTGGATAAGACCGAGATGATGTCTGAAAGTTTGGAAAACAACCGGGTGATCTGATGAGGCTGGTATCTCCCTCTAAGCGTATGTCTACCCAGCAAAAAACGACCCACAGAGCAAGTCTCAGGTCAACTATGCCTTGTGCTGCGGGGCTAAACGTTGCAGTGTAGATGTTTGAGCTCAGGCCGGAGCCTGGGCTCTGAAACTTGGTGAGGGGGGAAGGTGTTGGAGCCCAGGCACCAGCCCAAGCCTCCATGTCTATACTGCTATTTTTAGCTCTACAGTTTGAGCCCCGAGAGTCCCGATCAGTTGACCTAGGCTCTAAGACTCATTGCCGTGAGGGTTTTTTTTGGGGGGGGGGGGCTGTGTAGATGTATCCCTTAGACTGAGAGTGTGCTTCTGACATTTGTTAGTTGCATTTGCAATCTGGGGGTTGTATTGAACCCCCAGCACCTCTTCCGTGAGACAAGCTTTCAAGCTCACACAGAGCTCTTCTTCAGGTCTTATCTCTCTCACCAACATAAGATGGCCCAATAAAAGGTATTACTTTGTCCACCTTGTCTCTCTAATATCCTGGCACTCACACAGCTACAATAACACTGCATATTGCAATGGCAGTGACTTGAGACCACTACCAAACTTTTCCACATTCGTACTTGTGTAAGCTACCCTAAAGATGAGAGGCCCCTATATAATTTTACCAATCCCTTGAGCCATCCAACCTTCCTTTTAACATTGTAAAAGCACCACCATATCCATAATAATTAACAGTTTAATGGTAACATGTTCCATATTAAAATGTGCAACCACCCTGCAAATAAAGCCATAGACAGGCTAAATTCCAAGGGTTAACCCTGGTCCCACTGAAAGCAATGGATGTTTTACCAACTAAAGGAAAGATCTTACCTTTTTGACCTCATATTTAATGGCAAGTTTAATTCTGCTCAGGCTTGGGCGGGGATGCTCAGGCCACACTTTTATGTTCACATCTCCATTCAGAATAGCCTCCACTTCTTCTGTATCCCTGCAGAGATCCAGTACACCCACAACAAAATCCTTGCATTGCATAGATAACTTCCTGTAATCATTCTAGTGAAACAAAGAGAAACAAAAGTCATTTATCGTTGTGACCCGAAAACACACGTTTTTAAAAGAAACAAACAGCCAGTTCAGGCTGAAGTTCAGGATTTATCCATGTAAAACCTTTTGCTGGCTGGAGGCTGAAGCTGCCAGGTTTGTGTTGGGGCATATTTACATTTTCACAAGTATTAGTGGATTTCCTCCATAATAAACTAGCACCATCTCCATCAGTTAATGTTGATTTTTATGGCAAAAGGGTAAAACTCTGTTCACATAGGTCAGGTACTATGGCAGGGGTCGGCAACGTTCGGCACGCGGCTCGCCAGGGTAAGCACCCTAGCGGGCCGGGCCAGTTTATTTACCTGCTGACGCAGCAGGTTCGGCCGATCGCGGCCCCCACTGGCCGCGGTTCGCCGTCCCGGGACAATGGGGGCGGCGGGAAGCCACGACCAGCACATCCCTCGGCCCGCGCCGCTTCCCACCGCCCCCATTGGCCCGGGACGGCGAACCGCCGTGAGTGGGGGGCCACGATCGGCCGAACCTGCTGTGTCAGCAGATAAATAAACTGGCCCGGCCCGCTAGGGTGCTTACCCTGGCGAGCCGCGTGCCGAACGTTGCCGACCCCTGTACTATGGTGATATGGGCAATATGAATGATAGACAAACAGACAGGCAATCATTAGTGTTCACGAATTTGCCCCCACATTTTGGCACCCCCTCCCCTCTTTCTGGGGTGGAAATGGGCTCCAGTGGCACAATGGGTTAGTGCAGAGTACTTATAGAGCAGTGCTATATGGAGTGATGCTGATGTTGTGAGTTCAAGCCCCACCTAGAGCACCAGTTTGCTTTATGCAAATGGCTTCTGCAGTTCATTTTGGGGGTCAGACTACATGACCTCCTGAGGTCCCTTCCAACCCTGATATTCTATGATTCTATGACAACTCTACTGTCCTGAAGGGGAGTTTTCATTTTCACCCTTGGTTTTACGTGAACACAAACAATACTTTGCTTTGGCAAAATTCCACATATAATGTGTTTCCTTCCCTCTAGTCCACGTCATATCCACAGGAGAGCAAAAAGTGTTTCCTCCGTGGCTCCACTATTAATCAGTTTAGAAATTGTACAAAAAGGAAATGCTGTTTGAAAATATTTTATTAAACTGATAGATCTGTTTGCAAAACTGGTCTTAGGGATGTCCAGCCCACATGATTTATTTACATATACTCACACCAAAATGTGTTAAGACACAAATGTCTTCAGTGAATTCAATGTAATTCAGTTGAATTACAACAAAAAACTGCCACCTCTTTTGTGTTCTTTAATTAAATTTCTTAGGTTATTTCTCCAGAAAGTACAGAGGAGATTCTTAATTCCATTTCAACCAGATTATTGGGTACTAAAATATAATCAGTACCAAGAGAGCCTTCAATGCAACATGTATATGTATACCCCCATATTAAAAAACAGAGAACCAAAAAGTGCCACCATGGCTAAACAAAGTACAAGAAGCAGTGAGAGGCAAAAAGGCATCCTTTAAAAAGTGGAAGTTAAATCCTAGTGAGGAAAAATTGAAAGGAGCATAAACTCTGGCAAATGAAGTGTAAAATATAATTAGGAGGGCCAAAGAAGAATTTGAAAAACAGCTAGCTAAAGACTCAAAACATAATAGCAAAAAAAGTTTTAAGTACACCAGAAGCAGGAAGCCCGCTAACCAGCCAGTGGGGCCACTGGACAATTGAGATGCTAAAGGAGAACTCAAGGACGATAAGGCCATTACGGAGAAATTAAATGAATTCTTTGCATCAGTCTTGACTGCTGAGGATGTGAGGGATATTCCCACACCTGAGCCATTCTTTTTAAGTGACAAATCTGAGGAATTGTCCCAGATTGAGGTGTCATTAGAGGAGGTTTTGGAACAAATTGATAAACTAAACAGTAATAAGTCACCAGGACCAGATGATAGTCCCCCAAGAGTTCTGAAGGAACTCAAATGTGAAATTGCAGGACTACTAACTGTGGTTTGTAACCTATCATTTAAATCAGCTTCAGTCCCAAATGACTGGAGGATAGCTAATGTGACACCAGTTTTTAAAAAGTGCTCCAGAGGTGATCCTGGCCATTAAAGGCCAGTAAGCCTGACTTCAGTACCGGGTAAACTGGTTGAAACTATAGTAATTAACAAAATTGTCAGACACACAGATGAAGATAATTTGTTGGGGAAGAGTCAACATGGTTTTTGTAAAGGGAAATGATGCCTCACCAATCTACAAGAATTCTTTGAGGGGGGTCACAAAAAGCATGTGGACAAGGGGGATCCAGTGGATATAGTGTACATCAAAAGCTTTTAAGCAAAGTAAGCAGTCATGGGATAAGAGCAGAGGTCCTCTCTTGGATTGGTAACTGGTTAAAAGATAGGAAACAAAAGGTAGGAATAAATGGTCAGTTTTAAGAATGGAGAGAGGTAATTGGTGGTGTCCCCCAGGGGTCTGTACTGGGACCAGTACTATTCGATATATTCATAAATGATCTGGGACAAGGGGTAAATAGTGAGGTGGCAAAATTTGCAGATGATACAAAACTACTCAAGATAGTTAAGTCCAAAACAGACTGCAAAGAGCTACAAAGGGGTCTCACAAAACTGGGTGACTGGGCAACAAAATGGCAGATGAAATTCAATGTTGATAAATGCAAAGCAAGGTACATTGGAAAACATAATCCCAACTATACATATAAAAGTATGGGGTCTAAATTAGCTGTTACAACTCAAGGAAGAGATCTTGGAGTCATTGTGGACAGTTCTCTGAAAACATCCATTCAATGTGCAGCGGCAGTTCAAAAAGTGAACAGAATGTTGGGAATCATTAAGAAAGCGATAGGTAAGAAAGAAAATATCATATTGCCTCTGTATAAATCCATGGTACGTCCACACCTTGGATACTACATGCAGATGTGGTCGCCCCATCTCAAAAAAGATATATTGAAATTGGAAAAAGGTTCTGAAAAGGGCAACAAAAATTATTAGGGCTATGGAACAGCTTCTGTATGAGGAGAGATTAATAAGACTGGGACTTTTCAGTATGGAAAAGAGATGACAAAGGGAGGATATGATATAAAATCATGACTGGTGTGGAGAAAGTAAATAAGGAAGTGTTATTTACTCCTTCTCATAACAGAAGAACAAGGGGCCACCAAATGAAATTAATAGGCAGCAAGTTTAAAAAACAAACAAAAGGAAGTATTTTTTCAGAATGCACAGTCAACCTGTGGAACTCCTTGCAAGAGGATGTTGTGAAGGCCAAGACTATCACAGGGTTCAAAAAAGAACTAGATAAATTAATGGAGCATAGGTCCATCAACGGCTATTAGCCAGGATGTGCAGAGATGGTGTCCCCAGCCTCTGTTTGCCAGAAGCTGGGAATGGGCGACAGGGGATGGATCACTTGATGAATGGCTGTTCTGTTCATTTCCTCTGGGGCACCTGGCATTGGCCACTGTTGGAAGACAGGATAGTGGGCTAGATGGACAGTTGGTCTGATCCAGTATGACCATTCTTATGTTCTAACATGCTTGTTGAAATACTACTCCAGGAAACATGGTTCCAAAAACTCAACATGAGTTCCTATGAAGTAATTTCACCTCACAGCCAGATTTAGGCTGTGCTTGTGAGGATAGTGGTGAAATGTAGTTAACTTGGTAAGAATCATTTTACTGAAAGCCCTTATTCTAAATCAAGCAGTGATTGATTTACACATGGTGGGAGAAGAAAAAAAGAAAAAAGAAACGACCACCATTGAAACTGACCAAATGCAATTAAAATCAAACAAGATTAAGACTGCTGTTAACACAATAAGAAAACCATGCATAGACCCAAAGCAACAAATACAAATAATAGGCACAAGCTCTTACAGCCTCGAGAGATCTTTTCAAATTAGTTTTGATGAATTAATTCAATTCAGTTGCTCACCTAATTAAGCAATCAACCTAAAACTAAGATAGTTAAACCTGTCTTTGATGAAATGCTAAGAGTTGCTTG